TACAGCGGTCAGTCCGCCTACAGCGGTCAGTCCGCCTACAGCGGTCAGTCCGCCTACAGCGGTCAGTCCGCCTCGTGCCACCCAGGACTCCCCAGCTACCGAGGCGCTGCTACAGTGGGAGATGGATGTAGGAGCTTTCAGCGACAGTGAACCCGGCGCACACCAGCAGGAGAAGGCCGCCGCTCTGCGGGACGCGCCCGGGGTGAGTGTGCTTCGCTTCTCGGGCAGCCTCCACACGATCTGCGTTCGGACCGCAGATGCGCCCAGTGGCCATCAAGTTCACTGCGTTCTTCGACTGCCCCGGCCACCCTCGCCCTGAGACTGACTGTTGTGCCGCAGGTGATGCGGCTGGTGAATGTGATGTGCCGCGCGGACCCCGCCTGGAGCCTCCAGCTGCTGCAGCTCGCCGGACCCACGGTGGAGCAGCTCTTTGTATTCCGGGTCTCCGAGGCGCACCTTCTCGCCGTGCACGCTATGCCGCGGCTGCGGAGGCTGGAGGTGTTTGGGGACTTTGATCCGGACGTGATCCCCATGCTGCCCGCGCTCCCGCCGAGTCACGCCGGCCTAGAGTGGCTCCGTGCGTGGGACCTCCCCCGCCCCACGGTTCGCAGCCTCCTGAACGCGCACGCCCACTCCCTGCAAACGCTGCAGCTGGAAGTGGGCACACAGGGGAACAAGTCGTGGCCAAGGGGCTGCCCCGACCTGCCCGTGCTGCTGCAGCAGTGCGGCCTGCGGGAGCTGGTGAGGCTCGTGCTGTGCAGGGGCTGTCGTCGGTGGTACGAACGACGGCGGTGCCGCGAGCAGCGAGCCAAAATACGCCATGCGCTGCCCGGGCTCGAAGTGCTGTGCTCAAAGTGCGACTTAGCGCCACTGGATAGTGTATTTCGACTAACGGAGGAAGAAGAATAGCGGTGTTAAGAGGCAAACGCGGCTTTAGTTATTTAACGTTGCAAGCTGTGCACTAGCGCCCCCTAGAGTAAGACGTAAGGTAGCTACGCTTAACCTAAGATTGTGCGGGACCCCTCTTAGTTAACAGCGGGTAGAACATAAAGGTTCCTGATTGGCCGAGCGCTTACCCCCACTACCGTCGTCACGTAGAGGCGGGAAACTCTCGAGCAATCGGTAACGTTCATGTCCTACCCGCTCTTCTTCTTCCTCGGATCTAGGCCCACTCACCCAGGAGCGATTGACCCAACGTAACTTTGGCCCAGATATAATTCACCCACAAGTATTTCACCCCGGTTTATTCATCCATGTGTATGATTGAACCAGGGAGCTCTTCACCCAGATTTAATTTTGTTTTCATAAACAAAGGAACATTTTCACAAGGCCACAAGGCAAACGCAGAAGCGCCTTTTACGTCTACTACTCACTCACAGTGGTTTTAACACAACGAATCACAAAGGCCGAAAAAGGTAACTGAAAACACGTAATGCACAGTAACTTTCAATCTTTAAGAACTTTCCTGCCAGAAAAAAATTATTCATTACTTGAGCTCAAGGGTGTGTAACAAAAGTGATAAAATGTGAGTTACAAACTGTTACGAGTTCTTCTCGCGGCACTTCCTGATTCTATGTTTCTATGTACACCTCGCCCCCAAATAGTCCGAAATAAAGGCGAAATAGACCCGAAATAGACCCGAAATAGACGCGAAATAGTCGGTGAAATAGTCGCGAAATACCACCGAAATACCGCGAAATACCCTGAAATAATCCGAAATAGGCGATAAATAGCCGAAATGGCAGGAGAATAGCACGAAATAGCCCGTATGCTACGAACCCAAGTGATTTCCCCCTCGAGCAAGATCTGTCGGACTTAATTTATTTGTGGGTGAATTGTTCAGGAATGGGCGAGATGAAATCAAGGGTGAACGGACCTTGGGTGAATAATAGGGGGTGAAAAGACACGTTGTACCGTCCTCTATTATGTTTGTTTGTATGTTGGCACTATTGGTTCCTATCTTGTGTTTACCGTAATGCTTATTGGCAACCCCTTTCGTGTTATTAGCAGTCTATAGTTTACTTGGTCAACTCAGTACAATAAAGATGTCACTACTGCCTCTGAAGTTCCTGTCGTCACTTGAACCTCCACACACCATACGCTACACTGGAAATGCAAGTGTGTAAATGTCGCTCACCTGCAGGTGAGCGACATTCCATTCGTTCACTTTGGGGGGTAAAGGTGAGAGTTTTTCCTAGAAAATTCACACGTTTACCCCCCTAAGTGTACGAATGGAATGTCGCTCACCTGCAGGTGAGCGACATTCACACACTTGCATTTCCAGTGACGCTCTAATATCCTCGAACATCTACGGTACAGGACCAGTTCAAATCAGTTTACAAATGCCGCGTGACGTGCATACGAAAAATACAACTGATTTTTTTTATTGATTCGATTCGGGCTCGAATTTGGACTGATTTGATTCGAAATTTTTGAGCCAATTCGAAGAAAATGTTGATCCGATTCGAAGAAAATTTTTGAGGTTCGATACGATCTGATTCTAAGGCAAAAACCTTGATTCGCACAGCTCGAAGATGACTCCGAGCGTGTGCTACAGTAAATATGTGGTAGGCTATGTTTGTCATATTCTTTATTTAACACCGAACCAACAGAAAGGAAACCAATCACGTCACAAATCTTGTCATAACACTTTTAAACCAATATAAGTTCGGAAAAAACCTTAGGAAGGCGGGAGCATCCATTCGTCCATGCGCCAATCTGGTTCGTGTGACTTATGATCCCGGTCCAGTCTTTCGAAAGTCCTCTACTCTTTTGAGTATTTTGTAAGTACACATATTTTCGCTGAATAATAATCCTTGATCTTTCCTCTTTCCCCCCAAAATATGGACTTACCTTTAATTGTGTTACTTTTTGGTCTGCCGTCCTGCCGTACGTACTTAGACGCGCCTGGTAGGCTCCAGGCGCCGGGCGGGCCGCCGGCTCCACACAGCTGCTGGGCGGGTTGGCCTACCCAACGCGTTGCAGGCGCTAGCCGCTACAGGACCGGCAGGCGGGCCACCGGCTCCACACAGTTGCTAGGCGGGTTGGCTACACATAGTGGATGACGACAAAATCAGATCAAAATTTTGAATTTGGCCAAGACAAAGTCCCGCATTTCTTCGAGTCGCCTCCGCTGGTTAGGGTATGCTGGAACATCATTGTGGGGAAATATGGTACATTTCCTTAGTGGAGGTAGTGTGATAGTTTAAAAAAGAAAGCAATTGTAACGTGGTTGAAGCGTTAGGTCAATAAAATAAAAACACAGATGTCACCATAAAAAATTTATTGAAAGTGATTCAGGTAGACAGGGATGAAAATACAACCAATCGATTCAATGTTCTTTTCTTTTGGCGGACTAAAAACATAAAGAAATAAAATAAAACAGATTATTCTTGAGTATTTCGAAGTAAAATCTGCCCAATTTTAATTTTTTAACGAATAGTAATGGCAGCGCCAACGGACACTGAAAACTCCGGAATGAAGGAATATCTTCTACTTTCAGATAACCCGTCATTAATTGATGCTACAATGACGAACGTCTATCTCGTTGCTAGATGGGTCCTTATGCCACGCGTTATCCGAAAACGTTAGACAAGCGTCATTCCGGACTTTTCGGCGAATGTACAAAACGCTGAACCTTTAGGAACAAAATCACAGGTGGTCTCTTTACTAACATAAGGAATACAAGTACCGGTATGTCAGTAAAATCTCGTTTAACTGTCACCAAAGCTGTGTCTAAATTGAACCTAGACCTAGATCAGGGTATAACTGAACTCCAACCTTGTTGTATTGGGGCAGATGACTTGTGCTTCTCTCGCAACATAACAAGGCGTGACTGAGCCAAACGACATAACGCCTCGAGGTCAACATTTGAGACCATGCAGCGTGAAACGCGGGACGCCTGGCAAGTAAGTGTCATATATTGGCTCTCTCCCACACCCACACTCCGCTGCTGCCCTTGGTCAACACGCAAGAACACCAACCGGGCCGGACCGTAAGCTCCACCCCGCACCCCCTCCCTTATCCCCCGTCCGTCTGCGAAGAGGTCTGAGAGGGTGAGGGAAAAGGAGAGCTGGGCTGAGCCTATGCTCCGACCTGCTACAAGCATATACTGACTGAAGAAGACTTAGAGTTTGACCTGCGACCTCCTGACAACGTGGCCAAGAACTGCAGGCCTAAAAAGCGCCGCGAGCAGCGGACGCGGCACGCCTGTCGCTCCGCCGCTGCTATACTCGTCATTACATCCTAAAACCTAGGCTCACACACACATACACACACACAGACTCACAAGCACGTACACACGCACACACGCAAATCACACTGTATCGTACTTCTACAGGCGCACGCCCCGCGCGGCCGGGCCCGGCGAGGGCTGCGGCCGGCGAGGCTTCTACGCTAAATCATCACTGGCGACTGGAGGAGAGAAGCGGACGGAAACCGTCCAAGCTTTCTCTCGAGAAAAAACGGAAAATAAGGAGATAATGTCACAACGAAAACTATACTTGTATTTACACGTTTTACACACGGACCGGCGAGCGGTCCAAATACTTTATCATTGTGTGAGAGTTACTTCCACGCGTGCGCCGTGAGGCACACTAATCGAACGTTTAAAATAAATTTAAAAACAAACAATAACATAAATACATATTCTAAAGGACAAATCCAAAGGTGTCGTGGCGGGGATTACCTCTACGCTTACACTAAACACGCACACATAAAATACTATCCATTCAAGCCCGCTAGAAAGCTACTTCTAAACAAACAACTATCATTTTCTCACTCACTCACTCAGGCACACTACTTTTTTGAGAACTTTCTTGAACGCAGCTAATGTATTTCTGTGCACTTGTGCTGTTGCGTACCATTTTTACGCACACAGTTAAAACCTTGCACAGCAAAATGCCAAATCCTTTGCAATTGCAACTCCATAGCATTGCTTCGCGATTGCAAAAGGATTTGGAATTTTGCTTTGCAGGGTTTTGACTGTGCAATTGTGGAAA